GTAGCTGGGCTGCCGAGGACAGGGGTCAGGGCAACCGCTCTGAGATCCTGGGGGCACTGAGGTTTGCCTGGAGGGGAACTGGGGGACCCTGCCAGGGCTTGGCTCCCTGGCCTCTTGCTCCTGGGGGCCTCACCAGAGCAGTTGCCAATGAGGCAAGGCCGGAAGTAGCCATCCAGTCGCGTGCAGGGGGGTTCCTCCCCCATCCCTCCGGGTGCCGGTCTCTGGTGTCGGTAGCGCTGCTGGACTGGCACCTGGCATGAGCATTGCGTCCAGCTGCTCCAGCTGCTCCACATGCACTCCTCTAGGGACGGAGATGGGGGTGTCACTCAAGGGCCTCTCTCCCACCCACCCCCCATCTCACCCCGGCCCTAGCCAACCCCCTGTGCAGGAAAGGGCAAAAGGAAGCCAGGAATTCAGAAAGGTCCTGGCTGGGCTCCCTGTCACTCAGTGAGGGTCATGTCTCAAAGGGCCTAAAGGAAAAATTGGTGGCAAGAGGAAAAGACCTCAACAAAATATTGGGGAGAAACAAAGATACATATATTTGGGGGGATAACCTGGGGGTTGGGGAAAAGTACACTATTCCCTGAATCTTCCCAGGTAGGGAAAGGGCAGGGCTCACTCCCCACACACTCACCCAGGCAGGGCCCCACGTAGCAGGCCTGGGTGTCCAGGTGCAGGAAGGTCCCATTGCAGGCGGGGTCAGCCTCGGCCAGTGGGCAGGGGCAGGACCCAGAGCGGGAGGTCAGGCCTGGGCCACAGCTGTGGGAACAGGGCCCCCACGGGCCCCAGGAGCAGGCCTCCAGCAGCCCCCCGCAGGGCTGCGGCCCACAGCGCTGGGTCTGGGTGTCAGGGCCCAGGCAGGGCAGCTGCCGCACGTGGGGAGGAGCTGAAGCCACGCAGACCCGGGTGCGAACCTGGTTTCCACCTCCACAGGAGACAGGGCAGTCAGACCAGGGGGACCACGGTGTCCAGGCCCCGGGCACTGTGGGAGAACACAGGTGAAGCTAGAGGGGTTAGAGGGAGCGAAGGCCCAGAGGGCTGGTTGGGACCTTTGTGGCACAGGGGGTGGCAGTTGGAAATATAGGCAGGAGGGAAATACAGGACACAGAGTAAGCAAATGGACAGCAAGGCAAGAGGCTGGCAGGGTGGGGAGAGATGGGGGACTGATGAGACTACAGACCTGCACACTCAGTGTCCTCACACAGCTCGCCCTCCGGGGTGCAGGAGCTGGGGGAGGAGGCAGACTCAGGGACCCTGTGCCATCCAGCAGGTCAGCACAGGCCACCTGGCCCTGCCCCTGGGCTTACCATTGCTGGCACTCGCCCTGCCACCAGCTGTCCCCAAGGGAGTGGGGGCGGTCACCATGCAGGCACAGGGGTGGGCAGGGAGGCTGAGGGCAGGGCTGGCTCTGGGACTGCTCCTCTTGACACTCTGGGGCCCACGAGCCAGATGTGGAGGACCTGGGGGGGGGGGCAGGGCAGGGAATGTGAGAACTGGCCTAGGGCCCTTCACCACCCCTCTGCCTCCTGGACAGATACCAGCTGGGAAAACCCAGGGTGAGCATGGAAGTGGCTGAGGAAAGGAGGGCAAGGGTGACCAGGGACAGAAGCTGAGACCAGGGTACCGGGTGGGTGCAAAGTCACCGAAGGGGGGCAGGGTCCGGGAATGCTGTGTCAGAGAGGGAGACATCATCCAAGGACGCAGGAGAGGGGACACTAGCCAGCCCAGCCCCATACCGGAAGCGTCTCTGCTGTCCCCCGGGACCACACGAGCGGCTGCAGGGACTCCAGGCTGACCAGCGGCTCCAGGCGCAGTGGATGGGCGGCGGGCAGGGCCGTGCTGTGCAGGAGAGCTGCCCGGCCTGGCATGTGCAGTTGCTGCAGGCATCCTGGTGCCGGCTCCCCGGGGCCCAGCTGCGGCCCTGGGCATCTGTGCACTCACAGTGGCCAGTGGGCACGCAGCCGCCATCCTGCTCCAGCGAGCCTGTGGGGAGGCAGCCTTCCAGAGCTGTGCGGGCACTCGGGCCGGCCCGCCTTTCACCCGAGCCACCCTGACGTACCCTCGGGGCAGCGGCAGCCCTGCTGGCAGGCCTGGCCGTCCTGACACACGATCCCCTCCTGGAGATCTGAGCAGCGTCGGGGACAGAGGTTGGCACAGCTGACCACCTCCATGCCTGCTGGGCAGCCGTCCTCTGAGCAGAAGAGAGGACGAGGGTCAAGAGGGCCCTAAGCCCCAGGGACCATCCCTACCTCTGTGAAGCCACATGCCCCACCCTTCTCCCCATGCTAGTGCCCGTGGAAACATGGAGCACTGGGGACCCTGGGATTGGGACATTTTCAGTGACAGAGGTTACTCTCACCCAGCCTGATACCCAATAAATGCTTGCTGAGCTGGACTGAATTTGTGCACCTAAAATACCAACACTGTCACTTACAAGGCTCCTATATATGTGTTCACCTAGGGGACAGAAGATGTCAGTGGGTGGGGGGAGTCCTGGTAGAGGTGGTGGGCTCGAAGGACAAATAACAGACAGAGCTGAAGCTTGGGGTGGGGAGTGGGGGTTACAGCCTGTCTGGTTCAGTCCACATCCCAGGTACCGGGTACCAGGTACGTTCATGACTGTCACCCTCAAAGCCTCCAATAGGAACTGGAGTCCTCACCCAATGCCCAGGTCCCAACATCTACCTGTATGCGTCTCAGATTCCTTAACTGGACAAAGAGGTCCTGGCCTGGCCCCCATCTATGCCACACAGTGTCGTGGGGATGGAATTAGAGGTGGGGGTGGGAGAGCCCTGCAGAGAGTACAGGCCAGCAGGGCTGTGCTGTCCCTATCAACATACCACAGGGCATAGGGTTACAGAGTCGAGCGTGGTGCCTCTCCCCAACACAGGGGGCACCCCCGTTCTTGGGTGGGGGGCTCGAGCAGCTGCGGCTCCTCAGGGATCGGCCTCCCCCACAGCTCCGGTCACACCAGGACCAGGGGCTCCAGCGTGACCAGCCTCTGGGCACTGCATGGGAGAGAGAAGGGCCACATGAGGGGTCTGGCTCAGACAGAGGGGCTCCCCACCATGTCCCATGAGCTGAGGACAGGCCCTGCCCTAGCATGGAAGTGCCACAGGGGGCACTGGTGCCAGGGAAGAGCAGGTCCCAGTCTTGCCCAGCCCACCTCACCTGGGCAAGCGCGAAGGTTGCAGAAGCGGAGCTCCTGATAAGCAGTAAGGATGTCCGGGCACCAGTGCCCGCCCGGCCCTGGGGGATGGTACGCCCGCAGGCGGCGCTGCTGGCCCACCCCGCAGCTTCGGGAGCAAGGTTCCCATGGGGCCCAGGCAGTCCAGGAACAGTTCCCGGCCACGCAGCCAGGGCCGGGGCACAGGGGCAGCCCTGTGGGACAGGGCAAAGCTGAGCTGCAGCCAGTCCCTCTTCCGGCCCCAGCTCCAGGGCCAGTATGACCTCACCCAGACCTTCGGTTCTCCCTCCCAACCTGATACCGACTAGCCTGTGGTTTTGACAACTGGGCCTGTTTCCCCTTTCTCGTGGAGGACAGTAGTGCCAGACTCTCAGGGCTGCCGAGGGGTTTGGATGGGACCTTGGGGGGGAGGGTGTTCAGTACACACACGAGTGAGGATTTGCTGGAAGTTGGCAGGGCTCCCAGCAGCTGCTGGGGTTGGCAAAGGGCCCGGGGTCCAGAGTCAGGCACCCATTCACGATCAGATGTCAGGCTCAGAGCTCAGTATTTGCTTGAGGGATGTTAGATGTTGGGGTTGGGGTTGGACATTGGCTGGGGGTTAGAACGAGTTGTTCAAGGGCGGTTGTTGGTGTTAGAGGGGATGGGTAGGGCTCGGGTGTGTGTCAGGGTCAGAGGCTGAGACTGGAAGGCGCACCTGTACAGGAGGGCAGGTTGCAAGGGCGCTCCTGCGAGGTGTCCCTGCCAGTGCAGTTTGCCAGGCAGAGGCGACTGCGGCTGCGCCAAGCGGGCTGAGCTGGGTCTGTGCAGCTGCGGGAGCAGGGGGACCATGGGGACCACAGGCCCCAGCCACCTGGGGGGAGGGGAGAGGAGGGCTCTTAATGAGTCATCCCCGGGCTTCTAGTTTCCCAGGAAGCAAGGCTGGAGCGAGAGGAGACCCTGAGTTTGCTTTTCCCAAAGGGAGGTGTAGGTGCAGGTAGTGTGGGGAGGGGACCTGAGGAGTATGGACTACCTGCAAGGTCTGTCACTGGCTCCACCGTGGACCCCGCAGCCCCTGTGCCAAAGGAAAACCCTGCTCAGAAATGTTTCCCAGCCTGCAGTGCACCAGGGCAAGCCCGGGGCTGGTGGCTGAGTTCCAAACCTGTCAGTATCTGGTTCAGCCCTTTCCTCAGCTCAATGTGCCATGGACACTCCAGGCCCTGAGCACAGCACTTCCTCGTGGTAGCAAGGCCTTTGCTCATGCTGTTTCTGCTACCTGGCATTCCTTCCCCACCAATGCTTGTCAAAGTCCTCTCCATCCCTCCAACCCCCTTGGATGCTGCCTCTTCCAGGAAGCCCTCCTAGACTGACCCTTTAGGAGAACTCTTAACCTCCCGATCTTCCATAGCACACGCCACTCCTACAGGGCTCACCACATGCTGACATGGGTTATCTGAGCCCCTGGATTTCAAGGTCAAGGAGCCTGGCCACCCCTGCAGTCTATGGCAGGAGGGAAGCAGAGAGGGTGGGTGCTGAGGGGCCCATCCTGAGGGATCCTGACACTTGGTGACAAGCCCTCCTGCCTCACCACCACCTGCTCGGACCTTTTACCTTGCCCCAGGTCAACAGGGTGAGAGGCCTGTCCCTCAAAGAGAGTGACATGCATGTGTGGGTGGGGTCAAAGGTCAGAGCCAGTATCTCCCCAGCCTTACAAGGGGCCTTCCCAGACTCTGTGAAAGGTCTCACCTGAGCATCGAGTGGAATTGTCCTGGCAGGGGCGACTCTGCCTGTGACCCCCAGGGCAGGGCCTGCCTCCTGCAGGGGTGGGGGGCCAGCTGCATGCCCGGCTCCGGTGGGACTGCCCCAGGCACGCATCACAGGGAGACCATGGTCCCCATGGGCTCCAGGCTCCATCCACTGTGCCAGAAAGACAGAATCACCTGCCTTGGGAGGCCCCGGAGGCCCCGCTTGTTAGGACTGGAGGAGACCAGTGACAACATCTCACCTGGGCACTCGCCGGGGCTGGGGCACGGCTCTCTCTGGTGCTGGGTCCCTGACTGCCCTGCCTCCTCAGGGCAGCGGGACCCTCCGTGCTGGGGGACAGGACAGGAACAGGTCCTGGAGCGGGTCCTTGTCTGCCCTCTGCAGGGCTGGGAGCACGCTGTCCATTCCGACCACGGGCACCAGCCACCAGGTACTGCGGGGGTCAATGGCCAGCACTGGGGCACAGCCATCCTTTCCCCAGTCCCAGCCATCTCTGGGACCCTGGCAGCTTCTCCTCACCTCCCTCCAAGCTGGGTACATACGTGGGCAAGGCAGGTCCGTGCAGTTCAGCTTTCCCTCCGAGCAGGTGCTGGGGGACATTTGGGCACAAGGGGAACAGCGGTAGCTCAGCGCTGCCCATGACCGCCACACATGCCCCTCCTGTGCTGTTCTTCCTTTCCCCTCACCCCTTTGCCCCTTTCCCCTCTGGGGTCTAGGGTCCCCTCCCCAATCTCCAGAGCCTGCTCCTGTTCCACTCCTGGCCCTTCTGGGTGTCCCCTGGGCCCCCTGCTGGGCTCCGGCTGGTGTGCTCTACTAGGCAATGACTTCAGGTCGTCTGAGGACACCACACCTGTCCCCTCCCCTCAGAGCACACACTCAGCACTCTGTGGCTGACTCAGTTTCCCCACCTATCATACAGGGGTTGGGACCAGCCCATATCTTCTCAGGGATTGGGGGAGTCTAACCTGCACCAGCTGAGACGTGGGAGAGCTCAGAGGCACCCTGCCTTCACCCCTGCACCTGCTTCCCTCCCCATGCCCGCCTCACCAGTAGTTGCAGCCATCTGGCCTCGCCAGCTGAGCACCTGGATGGTGCCGCACCCCAGTCAGCAGGTCCAGGCAGCCACAGTGGCCGGGCTGCACACAGACGGCCCCGTCTGCACTCAGCACCTGGCCTGGGGGACAGTAGCAGCCCGGCTGGCAGTGCCACACACAGTGCTGGGGAACAACAAGGGGGGCTCTAGTCAGAGACGATGGGGCTGGAGGGGTTGGGAGGGGTGGCGCCCTGGGGAGTCAGTGCAGGGATGCAGGAGAGCAGACGGAGTAAGGGAGCAGGCTGGGTGTGCAGAGTAGAAATGCAACATCCCAGTTCAGTCCTTGTCTTGTCAACACAGTTCATGCCTCGGTTTCCCTCGGAGCTTCTGCCTTGTCCCCTCCTGGGGAGGAGGGAGAGGAAAGGGGAGCCTGGGAGGAGCTTCCCAGGGTGGGGTGACCTCCAGAGGTGAACCCCATGGAGGGCTCAGTGGGGACCCTAGGTCAACACCTGGGAACTGAGGCATCTTCCAGACTTCCTCAGAACATGGGGAGCAGGGACGGGAGAGGACGGCCATTTGGGAAAGTTGGGATCCTCTGGGGGAGACTGGGAGCCAGGTTCTGCCCCTTCCCCCTCCTCCCTGAACATGGGGGAGCCCCCTGGATCCCCCTGCACAGGTCTGTCATTCTTCCTCCACAGGGTCAGCTGCATGCCCACCTCACAGGCTCCAGGGACAGGGACCAGTCTGAGCTTGCCTCTGCCCCTCTCCATGGTCCTGGCCAGGCCCTCAGGCAACATCTCATACGCACACGCACACACGCACACGCATGTACATGCACTCTCAAGATCTGTGCACCAAAATGCTCCTGGCGTTTCAGATGACACAGTGGGGTGACTCCCATTGTTTATGCTGTTTTGTCAATATGCTGGTTAAATTGGGAAACGTCTGCTGTAAGGAAGACAAGGGCTGCTGTGTGGGGCTCGCTCCCCGGGACTCTCTGGAACTAGGGGGAGCTGCCCCACCCCTGCCGCCACTGCTAGGCTGTCCCACCTGCCCGCCCGCCAAGTCACCCTGGGATCAGTGGACCAGTGGGTGTGCCAAGGGGGCCCAGACTCACCACGAGGTCATCACAGGAGCGAGGGCAGGGCGGGCCACACGTGCTAAACTCAGCCCCTTCGATGGAGGTGCAGTCGGTCACTGCAGGTGAGGGGACAGCAGGGGCTGAGGGCTGTGTGGGCCGCAGAGCTGGCCTGTCTTCCCATAAAGCCTCCTACGGCTTTCCTGTCTCTGCTCCTTGCCCCACCCCCACTCCTGGCAGGTACCTGGGCATGGCCCAGCCTGGCAGGCCTCCCCCTGGGCTTGAGGCCCCTCGCAGTAGTCCCCCAGGCCCTGGGGTGGGGGCTGGTCACAAGTTCGAGTCCGGCTCCTCAGGCCTCCCCCACAGCTCCGGCTGCAGCTGGACCAGGGCCCCCAAGGACCCCAGCCCCCAGCTCCTGGGGAGACAACAGAGAAAGGAATGCAGGGGTGTGGCAGCCGCTGTGAGGCAGCAGGTATCCACAGGGCTCAGAGGGACCATCCTGGCTTCTGCGGGACTCACGGTCACAGGTGGGCAGGGCACAGGGCTCCTCCTCAGCCTCGGGGCCTGGGCAAAGAGGCGCCGGAGAGGCCCGTGGGGGCAGCGGCGCCCTGCTGGACAGCGCCACACCCATACCAGCAGGCCTGGTGCAGAAGCGGTGCCGGTGGCGGTGGGCAGGGCCACAGGAGGCCGAGCATTCGCTCCATGGGGTCCAGGGCGACCACGTGGGCTGACCTGGGGGTGCACAGGAGGGACAGGCAGAGGGGGGACAGGCAACGGGAGCCCCCTCTCCCGTGCCCACCTGTCCTGAGGGCTTTTCTTCCCCAGCCCCGGCGCAGGCCACATGGGTGGCAGTAATCGAGCAGGGGATGAAGTCAGGCCTGGGCCCCTTTCTCACCCGCCTCGCAGGGCCAGGAGGTGCAGTTGGTGATGAGCCCAGAGATACAGGAGCTGGAGGGAGAGCAGCAGAGGGTTGGGGTGTTGTTACAAGCTTCCCCGTGTCCCCCCAAATTCATATGTTGAAGCCCCAACCCCAAGAATGTGACCTGATTTGGAGATGGGGGTCTTTGCAAAGGTCATCGAGTTAAAGTAAGGTCACTAGGGGGCCTAGTCCAACACTGCGGGTGTCCTTATACAAAGGGGAAGTTTAGACAGATGTGCACAGGGGCGGCCGATGTGGGGACACAGGGAAGAGGCGGCCATGTGGCCACAGATCGGAGGGATGCAGCTGCCAGCCAAGGATGCCAGCGAACAGGAGAGGAGGGGGCCTGGAGCTGACGCCCTCGCAGCCCCCAGGAGGAACCAGCCCGCCGACTATTTGGTCTTAGATTTCTAGTCTCCAGGACGGTGAGAAGATACAGCCGGTTGCTGAAGCCACCCAGGGGTAGCCCCAGGACTGTAAGGCAGGTAGGAAGAGAGGAGGTTGGTGGGGGGTCGTGGATGAGGGGCGCAAGCGGCCTGGCCTCAGAGAGCTGGGCACTGTGCCTGTGGGAAAAGGTGTCCCCATGACGCACCGGCAGCCAGCGTCCCCTGCCACCGAGGAGGGACAGCAGGGTCTTTAAGAGGTTGCAGGCCCATTGCACAGGGAGGGGTCTCACCAGTTCTCACAGGGACGAAGCACAGTACTACCCGGGGGGTGGAGGCGTCCCCCGTGGGCACAGGGGCAGTCCTGGGTGGGCACACACACGTTGTTCTGGAACCAAAACAGCATCATCTTCTAGTTGCTGGTCTGGGCTGCTCTCCCCGACCTGTGAGAGCTCAGCACCCCTTTCTCCGACCCCCACCCTCAAACATCACCNTTCTAGTTGCTGGTCTGGGCTGCTCTCCCCGACCTGTGAGAGCTCAGCACCCCTTTCTCCGACCCCACCCTCAAACATCACCCATGCATGCTCCTTCACAAACATCTGTCCCTTCCCATTCCTGTCGTCGGGAAAGGGGATGGACCCCCAATTTCTGGGAGAAAAGACCAGCCCAATTGTAGGACACGCCTTTGAAATCAGCTGACAAAGTATAAAGGACACCATCCCTGGGGGTGTGGTCCAGTGGTTAGTGTCAGCCCACGCACCGCAGGGCCGCAGGGTCGATTCCTGGTCAAGGGCACGTACGTGGGTCGCAGGGTCGATCCTGAGCCCCAGTTGGGGTGTGTGCGGGAGGCAACTAATCAATGTCTCTCTCTCACATCAACGTTTCTCTTTCTCTATTCCCCTCCCTTCCACTCTCTCTAAAAATCAATGGAAAAAAATATCCTCCAGTGAAGATTAATTTAAAAAAAAGTGCAATCAGTATAGCAACCCCCACATTTTCATCCACAAAATCAAACCAGACAAAACTATGTGCATAGCCAGTTTGGACAGAAGTCACTAGTGTCTCAAATCTTTAAAAAAAAAAAATGGCCATCCAGAAACACATGGTTCAATGTCAGGTGCAGGAAGTCTGAGAGCCAGGCCCGGGGAGAGAATGTCACCGTCTTAGGGACTCCGATGACTGGATACATTACTACCCCAGTTTTACAAAAAAACCCCACAATCTAAGGCATGAGTATATTCAGCCCAAGGTCACAGAGCTGCCAGCAGAAGAGCCTGATTTGAACCCAGACTCCACAGGATCTATCCTTTAACCACACCCACGGTTCAGCAGCGTCTCTGTAAGCCCTTCCCGCCACCCACAAGCTTTTGTGCAAACTCCACCACCCCTGCTGCATTTCCCAGCCCTGGTTTCCACTGCCCTCCAACTGGAGTGGCCGCCAAGTCAGGACCACCTCCTCCGGGAAGCCCACCACAACTGACCCAGCCTCTGCTAGTCTGCGCCCCTTGCTCTGCAGCTTGCAAAGCTCACTTCCTGTGTGTGGATGGTTCTGTCTTCATTCTATGGGCTCTGAGTCCGCTTTCCCAGACTGGAGGCCTTGTGAGGGTAGCCCTTGCTCTTTCCCCACAACGTAGCCCAAGACTGAGCATGCAGTAGGTGCTCAATAAATAACATGAGAGGGCAGAGCACTCAAGCAGGCATGAATGATAGAGACCTAGCACCATTTCACAAACGGAAAAACAGAGGCCCAGGAAGACAAATGTGACTCGCCTGATGGCACAGCTGAGCCCCCACCCCTGAGTTCAGCACTCTCTCCTCAAAATCAGGTGGAACAAAGGCCCTCCCAAGGTCTCCCTGTCTCCAGCCCCATGCCCTTGGCTCTGTCTCTGCCCAGGCCCTGCCTGTCTCTTCCCTGTCATCCATGGTCCCCAGGCCCCAAGGAGGTCAGGCAGGGAGGACACTCACCAGCAGGAGCATCCCGGGAGCACAGTAGCAGCCAGGCAGGCAGGTCTGGTTAGTGCCTCCGGGGGCGCTGAGCTCTGCACAGGAGGCAGGGCCCTGGGCACAGTCTAGCCACTGCTTGTCCCCAGAACATACGCCAGGCACTGGCCCTGGGGACACAGAAATTGACAGCCCAGCTCAGACTCACTCAACTCTCCCTGGACTCCCAACCTGGAAGAGGCACCCGCTCCTGGTACAGCCAAGGAGGTCACAGGGCTGCACAGGAGCTCAGGGAAAGAGGTCTCTTGGGTGACAGGGGACTGGGTCAGGTGGGGGTGAAAACTGAGGGTAGGGGTGTGGTGGAGAGGTGGGTCCCAGGGCAGCCCTCACCTGTACAGGGCTGCAGGCCACAGGTGGAGAAGTCCACGGGGCTGTTCGGGCCACTGCCTCGGGTGCGGTTCCGGAAGCCACCGCCACAGGGCACGGAGCACGGAGACCAGGGGCCCCACTCCGCGCCGGGACCTGGAGTGGCCCCGGTCACTGTAGGCCCTGCCTTCTGACACCCAGCCCCCCTTCCCCTCCCACCTACACACCTGGGCACGTTTTCCCTCTGCCTTCCCACATCCCACCCCAGGAGACCTCACCCCTTCTCCGGAGGCTCTGGGATTCAGCCCAGAGCAGGGCTGGCCTCCAGGGAGGTGCCTTCTCAGAGCTTCCTGGGGACCACATCTTTGTGGCATCTCTTAGGTAGGCCCTTGTACCTCTCTTGGGGTGCACAGTGGGGGGGATTAGACTGAGAGTGTTCTTGGCTCCTCGCTGGAGGGTTCTGGAGACTCCGTCCCAGCACTCACCTTGACATGGCCTCAGGCTGCAGAATTCGGCCTCCATACTGGAGCCCTGGCACGCAGCACCCCCAAAGGCAGCTGGGGGTGCAGTGCCTGCCCGGAAACGCCGCCGGATCCCTACGTTGCAGCTGCGGCTGCAGGTACTCCATGGGGTCCAGGGGCTCCAGCCACAGGCCACTGCCAGGGTGAGAGTGGGAGAAGGGGAACAGTAGGTGTAAAAGCTGGTCAGGTGGTCCCTGGACCCCCTACTTCCCCAGGGCACCACTGAGGAACCCCAGGGTCGATCTCTGAATGGGGCCAGCATCCTCTCCGGTCCCTGAGGTCCCTAGGGGTACCTGGGCAGGGCTCCGAGGTGCAGGCCATCTCGCCAGAGACACAGGTGCTGCAGAGAGAGGCCCGTCACGGCCACGGTCAGCCCCCGCCCCTGGAGCTCTGGGTACCTGGCTCCGGGCAGGGGACCTGCTATCATGTCCGCGGTGCAGAACAGAAACTGAGGGTCTGGGCAGTAAAGCCAGTTGCTCGCATCCTATGTGAATTTCACACGTGACCCAGGATTGTCACCAGGAGCAGAAGGCCACCTTCTGTGAGCCTCCTGAGCCCTGGCACCGAGCCCAGTCTCGTGATTCTATCAAGGAGTAGCCCTTCACCCTTTCATCCCATTTGTATTTACTAAACACTGTTTGGAAAGGACTCTGAGCAACTCTCCAGGGCCAGGCAGGAGCGATTCAGGGAGTGTAGGTCCTAACTTGAGTCTCCCGGGGACGAAAACGCTGCCTGTTTCTTCCCTTTTACTTTTCTCCAATAAATATTTTAGGGCCCACTTGTCATAGAAAAATAACCTGGGAGGAAAAGAAAACCAGAAAGCGGCAGGAGGAGGGAAGGTGAAGGAGACAAGTGAAGGAGGCCCGGGTGATAAAAAATAAAAAGGGAAATGGAAAGAAAATGAGACTGAGCGGAAGGAAAAAAGAAGGAATGGGGTTAGCTCGCCCTCCGCTGGCAGGGCCTAGGATCAGCTTTGGGTCCGGGTGCCTCCAGGTTTCTGAGCAGAAATTAGTGGACCCCAGGTAACCCCATTCAGGAAAGAGAAGCGGGGGTAACTGGAGGAGACGTTAGCCGCGCCTCCCCAGGCTCTCGTTCCCTCATAAATTGCTTTGCTCATCTGAGCCTCAGTCTTCCCATAAGTCAAATGGGCATGACAATTCCTTACAGACGCCCGCCCTTCCAGGCCAGGCAGCATGTCATTCACTCTGGTATTCACAGGGTCCAGGCCTGGCACCATGGAGGCCTGCTAAACACACCCACACCCACACCTGGGAGTCCACACCTGCCCATCTCTGGAGCCACCAAAGCCCTGCTTCCCCGTTCTGAGGCTGGTGGCCTACCAGTTGTTACATGAGTCCAGCAGGACAATTTCTCCTGGTTCGTAGACATGCCCGTGCATCTGGCAGGGGCACCGATTGCGGGGTAGGCAGCTGGCGTTGTGCAAAAAGAGGCCAGGGGGACAGGCGCAGCCGGGGGCACAGGAGCTGGTACATTCCACCCCAGGGCCTTGCGCCAGGCACAGCCTAGGGCACAGACCCCCCTCTTGGCGGCACTGCTCGGCTGAGCGGAACACCATGTCCCCTGGGCACTGGGCTGGTGGGAAGACAGAGCTGGTCTCAGCAGGGGTGAAGGGAAGGGCAGAAAATGGAGGGGCAGAGGGCAACCTGCATGCAGGTGACTGGTGACAGCCTGTTGATAGGTTTGAGAAGCTGGAGGAGGGCCCCTCCCTGGGGCCACAGCTGGTACCTGGTCTCCAGTGGGTAGGAGCTGGAGGAGACACAGGAAACCCAGGAAAGTCTCTTAGCTCAAGGCCTTGCCTGTCCTGGAGCCAGAGGTCACTGTGCGGAGGTGGGACTGGGGAAAGGTCAATATCCCCAGGGGCTGGCGGAGCAGAGGGAGGGGAGCTGGCACCTGTGCAGGGCTGCGTGTTGCAGTCCCTGGTCTGGCTGTGGGGTCCCTGGCACTCGGCATCCCCAGCAGCCGAGCCAGAGCAGCTGCGCCCACGCGTCTGGATGCCTCCATCACAGGGGGCTGAGCAGGTAGACCAGGGGGCCCATAGACCCCAGGCGCTCAGCACTGTCGGGGAGAGCCAAGACCACCATCAGGATGCAGCAAAGACACCCAGGGGGGAGCAGGAGAGGGGTGGGGCTGTGTGGTATACAGGGTCTCGACCACAGCTTCCCCCCCCAAACACCCACACCTCCAAGGCTGCCCCAAACACTCCTTCAGGCCAAGCCCACCCTGCTAATCTCACACTGGTCTCCCTGGGGGGGGGGAGAGAAGCTTCAAGACACTAGCCAGGTTTGCCCCCTCCCACCCCAGGTGTTTAGACCCTGCCCAAGAGGTCATTCTTTGCTCTCACCCCACCCTGGCCCCCAGGCGACCCCAGGGGCAGGAAGGGGCATACCTGGGCACACAGGGGGACTGCAGGGCTCCTCCTGAGCGGCCTCTCCAGGGCAGGATGTGTTCCCCAGGCTGGGGCAGAGCCGGGAACGACTGCGCCAGCCTGGGCCCCCTCCAGGGGTAAGGCAGCTCTGGGAGCAGGCGGACCAGGGTGCCCAGGGCGTCCAGCCCAGCGCCTCTGGAGGGGAAGGGAAGGCTGGGGAGATCCCAGCAGGGCTGGGGAGGCTGGGCCACGTGGGTCACGTCTGAGAAGCTACGAGGCCAGGCCAGGGCTGCTCCTCTGGGACCCCCACCTTGACATGTCTACTATCCAACCTCATTTTCCCCCCAGATCAGTTCTTCCAGAGCCTTCTAAACCACTGTCCTCCATTCAGCTTCAACGTTGGAAACTGCAGAGTCCCCGTGACCCACCAGTTCACCAGCAGCCACTTTTCGCTGCCCCTCTTCCCTCTTCTGCTGTGAGAGCCTGGCCCAAATCCCTGTACCCAACTGCCCTCCAACTCTCCTGCCCTCTCCTCTGCCCCACACACCCTGTATGCCAGGGGGACACAGAGACAGAGACTTCCACTGACACCAGCTCTGCCTTAGGGGCCCCTGAAACCTCCGTCTGGCCTCCGCGTGCTCCTGACAGCCTCCCCTAGCCAGACACCCGCAGCCGGTGGGGTCAACCTCACTCCCACGCCTGCTCCCCCCAGACCAGCCTGCTCACTGCACCCAGGCTGCCGTGTGGCAGGAGGTCGCTGCTGGGGCCCTGGCCTCCCACCAAAGCCCCACACATTAAGGCCAGTACGTTTCAGGGCTGCCTCTGGGATGACGGGGAGCCTTTGCTGACACCCGTGCCAACCCATCGAGTCCCTGGGGCAGGAGGTGGGAGGAGGAAGGCAGGCATTGGAAGGTGGGTGGCCCCTGACCGTACCTGTCCCGCACTCTGTGTGGCACGCCTGCAGCTCCTGTGTGTCGCCCTCACAAGGCACACCCCCGGAAACGGCCGGAGGGTTGGAGGGAGATCTGGGGAGAGGGCCAGACTGGGCAGCTGCTCTCCTCTCCGGGCCCCTCACTCCTGCCTTTGTCTTCCAGCCATCTTCCCACCGCGACGCTCTGCCCTGCAGGGCTCCAACCCCACGGCTTGCTGAGCCTGCTGCCCACTCCGCACACCCTTCCCTTCCTTGTCCCATTTTCCTTTCTCTGTGTCCCGCACACCTGAACCTGGCCCTCACTCCAGAGCCACAGGAGCGGTCGCAGGGACTCCAGGAGGACCAGGCTGACCAGCCGCAGGGCACCGGGCAGACCCCTGGTTCGCACAGCAGCACCCCCTTCTCACACATGCTGCAGAGGAGAGAGAGGCCAAGGAGGCCAGGGCTGGGGAGGGTGGGGTGGGGAGGAGACTGTCCCCTAACCTAGGCCCTCCCCACGGCAGACACCCTCACCATTGGCTGCAGTTGTCCAGGAGGAAGGAGAGCCCGGGCTGCCTCAGCTCTCCGCCCACAAGGCAGGGGCACTGGGAGAGGGGCAGGCAGCGAGCGTCATGGAGGAGAAGCCCAGGGGGACAGCGGCATCCTGGGTGCAGGGAGGGGGCACTCAGTTCCAAGTGGGGGGCCTGGGACTGAGGGTGGGGGGATGTGGGTGGGGGCCCACACTCCCCCTGAGGGTTCTGTCCACAGCACCCCTGCTTGCTGGTGTGCCTCACCCTCCACACAGTGCCCGCTGCAGCTCTTGTTGGCCTCAGGATCCAGGCAGGAGGGTGGGCACAGGGGCACCAGCCCCTTCTGGCACAGGGAAGCATTGACATGCACACGGCCTGGCCCACAGTCTGGTAGGAGATGGGCTCCAGGTGAGGTGGGCACCCGGAGGCCCAGAGACACCCCCATGGCCCTACCCCACAGGGCCCCACCCTCTGACCCCACCCAGCTCCCCTTACCTGTGTCCCCTGTGCAGGGCTGCAAGCCACAGGGTGTCCTCTCCTGGGAGGCCCCGGGGCAGGGGGCACCGCCGTTCTTGGGTGGGGGGTCCACACAGCTCCTCTGGCGACTCCGATGACCACCCCCACAAGAGACGCTGCAGGGTCCCCATGCTTCCCACACAGTCCACGCCCCAGCCACTGCAGGGAAGGAAGAGCAGGGGTGGACCAGACAAGCCCAAGGGAACATGGAAGGTGCTAGAGAGAACAGGTGGCCGAGCAAAGAGGAGCCTGGATAGCCACCAGCGGGACAGCCTAAGCAGTACCCTGGAGACTCCACTGCTTCCTCTCTTGTCCCAGGAGTGGGACCTGGGCAAAGATCTCTAGGTGCCTCCTGAGAAAGTCTCTGGTCCTTAGCAAAGGGCTGGGAAGGGGCTGGAGCAGAGCGTCCCCTGGTGGCAATGGCCAGAAGCCGGGCTTGGAGGCCAGATGTGAGGGCTGGAGAGGCCCAGGTGTTGGAAGCGATGAAGCAACAGCGTGGGGGTCCACAGAACAGAAGGGCTGCAAGGCCTTGAGCATAGAGCCCAGGACTAGTGGCTCAGCCCATTCCCCTCACTCAGGTGGGAGCTACTGTTACTCTAGTTCCCACACTCCGGGTGTCAGGGAACTGTCCAGGGCCACTTAGGCAGGAAGAGGGCAGAGCATGGGACAGGCTTCTTGACAAGCCCTCTGGAGGTGGGAGGCTGTGACATCAGAAGGGGCTGTCCTCCTAGAGTCTGGGAGAGGAGCCTGGACACTGAGGTCCCAAAGAGAGCAGGGACATTTCCCTGGTGCAAGTCTGTGATGGGAAGCCACCTCAGGTGTCCCTCGGAGGCCTAAGCAGGCCTGTGGAAGCTGAGGGCTGGGTGCCAGTTACCTGGGCAGGCCTGCATGAAACAGGGCTGGCTGCGGAGCCGGTCAGGTGGGCAGCTGCCCCCAGGCAGCAAAGGCCGCAGCAGCTCCCGGCGCTGGAAGGTGACGCCCAGACCACAGCTGAGGCTGCAAGGGCTCCAGCCGGACCAGGGCGCCAGCCTACAGTCCACTGCAGGGGGACAGGTGGGCCAGGCTCAGAGGGGGCTCACTCCAGGGTGGGGCCCTGAGGAGTGCCTCCCAGCAGGGCACACACCACAGCCCTCCTCATCTGAGCCGTCCTGGCAGTCAGGCCGCAGGTCACAACGCAGCTCGGGGGCCAGGCACTCCCCACTGCCACAGGTCAGCTGCCTCGGGGAGCAGAGGGCTCGCGGGGAGGGCAGCCCAGGCAAGGCTGTGGTGGGCACCGTGAAGGGCACAGCGCTCGCTGCCCGTGAGCAAGAGGAGAGGAGGAAAGGATAAGTCATTCTGGCAGGATGGTACATGGAGCCCCTTCGACCTCAGGCAAGAGCAGAGCAGAGCTTGCTGACCAAGGGCCTGGACTCCCCACTCCTGACACCTCCCACACCCGGTGCAGGCCTCCCTCCGCTGTGTGTGGGCGAGATCATGTTCTGCACAGGCCCTCGCAGTGTCTGCTTGTGAATGGCTCTTGGAGCATCCAGAGAGGCCACAGTGTCTAACAGAGCAGCTCACTCCCTCAGGTGCCACCTTCCGGAATGGGTGCTCCCTGAGGTGCCCTTTCCTGTGACTGGCTAACACTTGACCTCTCCTCTGGTTGGAAGACTAAGCTTTGAGCATAGTGATCTACGATGGATGGATGGATGGATGGATGGATGGATGGATGGATGGATGGATGAATGGATGGATGGATGGGTGGGTGGGTGGATGGACGGACCGGCGAGTGGGTGGGTGGATGGGTGAGTGGGTGGGCGGTGAGTTGGATGGCTAGATGGATGGGTGGGTAGGCGGGTAGACTGGTGAGTGGGTGGGTGGATAGGTGAACCTTATGAATAGATGAATAGATGGGTGAATGGATGCATGGGTGAGCGGGTGGGTGGACGGTGAGATGCATGGGTAGGTGGATGGATAATGAATGCATGGATGACAGATGCATTCCCATATGAGCTAAAAATGGGGG